TTTATCCTTGTCCCTTCCTTCCTTTCCCCCTTCCTGTCTCACTTGTTCCTCTTCCCATTTAAACATTTTCTTCCCATTTCCCAATATCTATTATACATTTTAGTCCCTATTTACACTTTCAGTTTCTCACACCAGAGAAACAATGTGGTGTTTAAACATATGTGTCCTATTTATTTTACTTAAGAGTATGGTCTCAAGGTGCATCCATTTAGCTAGAAATGTCTCCAGCTTATCCTTCTTTATGGCAGAGTAGTACTCCATTGTATAAAAAAAACACATCAACATAGAGAGTCCAAAGCTAGCCTGAATTGCAGTGAGTCCCTGTCTCAAAAAACAACAACAACAAAAACAAGGGCCAGGGATTTAGCTCAGTGGTTCTGCCACCTGCCTCACAAGCACAAGGTCCCAAGTTTGATTCCTGGTACCAAAAAACCCAACCTCCCACAAAAAACAGGGAGGGGACTTCTGGGAAGACAGTGTGGTACTAATGAGCAGGTAAACAGCCTTTCTGAGATTTGGTGTCCAGATGCTGGAATATAGTGACATGAAGAAGAGAATAAGGAGGGAAGTGGGTCCATGGGAGCTAGCAAGGATCTGAAGTGAGAATTGAAGCCCACGGGGAGAACAAAGAGAGAGACTTCAACCAAGAAGGAGGTGCCAAGTGGTGCTTTCCCCCTGAGCTGTGACTCACTTCGTGGGAAGGATAACTCAAACCTCCAGACATACAGGGACTACTGGTGGCCCCAGAGGCCTCCATGGAGAAGTAGCAGCAGTGGAACAGAACAGTGGACACAGCAGGTGGTGAGTTATTCGGGTTCAGACATCAAGTAGGAGAGGGGGATTGGCCATTCACCATCTTGAAGAGGGGCCAATTGAGTTTAGAACTCAGACCAGCTGCAGTCTGGCTGCATCAGGGTGAGATGGAACCAAGTTCAACCTGGCAGGAGGTCAAGGAGCCAAGTTCAAGCCAGCAGGAGGCACACAAAGTGTTGCAGGCTGAACAAAGTGGGTTCCAGCCTCATAGCCAAAAGCCAGCCTGAGCTTCATAACTAAAGGTGCAGACTTACTGGGATTATCCACTACAGCTGGCTTGTTGGGATTGATCAACATGGATCTGGACTCTGTCCACTTTGTCTACCAGTGACTACAGGGACACACTTTGAAGTGGACTTTTTTTTTCTCTTTCCTGTTTTTATTTTTTGTTTTGTTTTTTTCTTTTTTCCTTTTCTTTTTTTTTTTCTGGTACTAGGGATCAAACTCCAGACCTTGTGCTTGCCAGGCAGGTGTGGTGGCACTGAGCTAAATGCTCAACCCCATCATTTTTTCTTTTTTGAGTCTGGGTCTCACTCTATAATTCAGGCTGGCCTTGAACTCATGGCAATCTTCCTGCCTCAGCCTCCTGAGTGCAGGGATTACAGGTATGTACCACCTAACCCAGCTGTTTTCTTTTTTCTTTTTTTTTTTGGTACTAGGGATCGAACTCGGGTCCTTGTGCTTGCGCAGCAGGCGGCGAAACCACCGAGCCAAATCCCCGGCCCTGTTTTCTTTTTTCTTGATTGTTTGCTTTTGTTTTAATTTTTTAATTTTATTATTTTTTTAAAGAAAGTTTCCATTTTTTTTTTAGAGTAAAGATTTAGTGCACAAATACAGCCCAAAGCCAAGAGAAAAATAGCTTTGCTCTGTCATATCCCTAAGAAAGCACTGCAGTTACTCAGGATAGGCCAAAAACAAAACAAACAAAGAAACGAAGTTCTTTGAGCTGTCGGCTTCACAAAAAGATGTTTGTTCTTGTTTTTATATAAGTGTGAACATTGCTTCCAGTTTTGTTGTTGTTGTTCTGTTGTGTTCTTTTTTTTTTTTTTTTTTTTT